AACTCACAAAAAAATCCTCTCTCAATCGCCACGTAATTGACCCATCTCTGGAGTGTAATTACCTATGAACTTCTGGCAAAGCTGGAGGAAGAGAATTAACATACAGTATATAGTTTTAGCTATATACACACCGTACCGGGGCGGACTGACCATCTGGAAACTCAGGGCCCGGGGTCAGTAGGGGCTCTATGAGATGCCCCTGGTACTTTTTTTTTTTTTTTTTTTATAGGCTTTTTTGAGTTTGGGCAAGGACACAGGGGCCCTGTGATCCCCTATTGCCCGGGGGCCCCATGAGTTGTCAGTCCACCCCTGCACAGTACCCTATAACTTTATCATCTAAATCCAATTATTTGTGTGTATATATATATACACATACACAGTGCTTTGAAAAAGTATTCATGCTCCTTGAAATTTTAGACATTTTGTCATGTAACAACAAAAACGATAGACCAACACAAAGTAGTACATAATTGTGAAGTGGAAGGAAAATGATAAATGGTTTTCAAAAATATTTACAAATATTTGTATTTGTATTCAGCCCCCCTGAGTCAATACTTTGTAGAACCACCTTTCACTGCAATTACAGCTGCAAGTCTTTTTGGGGATGTCCCTACCAGCTTTGCACATCTAGACAGGGACATTTTTGCCCATTTCTCTTTGCAAAATAGCTCAAGCTCTGTCAGATTGGATGGAGGGTGTCTGGTAACAGCAATTTTCAAGTCTTGCCATTCTCCATTGGATTTAGGTCTGGACTTTGACTGGGCTATTCTAACACATGAATATGCTTTGATCTAAACCATTCCATTGTAACTCTGGCTGTATGTTTAGGGTCGTTGACCTGCTGGATGGTGAACCTCCGCCCCAGTCTCAAGTCTTTTGCAGACTCTAACAGGTTTTCTTCTAAGATTTGGCTCCATCCATCTTCCCATCAACTCTGACCAGCTTCCCTGTCCCTGCTGAAGAAAAGCATTTCCACAACATGATGCTGCCACCGCCATGTTTCCGGTGGGGATGGTATGTTCAGGGCGATGTGCAGTGTTAGTTTTCTGCCACACATAGCATTTTCCTTTAAGGCCAAAATGTTAAATTTTGGTCTCATCTGACCAGAGCACCTTCTTCCACATGTTTGCTGTGTCCCCCACATGACTTCTCGCAAACTTCTTATGGCTTTCTTTCAACAATGGCTTTCTTATTTCCACTCTTCCATAAAGGCCAGATTTGTGGCGTGCACGACTAATAATTGTCCTGTGGACAGATTCTTACACCTTCGCTGTGGATCTCTGCAGCTCCTCCAGAGTTATCAGGGGCCTCTTGGCTGCTGCTTCTCTGTTTTATGCTCTCCTTACCCAGCCTGTCAGTTTAGGTGGCCGGCCATGTCTTGGTAGGTTTGCAGTTGTGCCATACTCTTTCCATTTTCGATGATGGATTGAACAGTGCTCCGTGAGATGTACAAAGCTTGGGATATTTTTTTATAATCTAACCCTGCTTTAAATTTCACCACAAATGTATCCCTGACCTGTCTGGTGTGTTCATTGGCCTTCATGATGCTGTTTGTTCACTAATGTTCTCTAACAAACCTCTGAGGGCTTCACAGAACAGCTGTATTTATACTGAGATTAAATTACACACATGGGGGCTCTATTTACTAATTAGGTGACTTCTGAAGGCAAGTTTTCTACGTTCAAAAAAACGACTGTAAACTCAAATGACTGTAAATGAAGATGTGTACACATAGGAAACCATTAAGGTGAGTTCAGGGGCTGCTGAAAAAACGCTGAACAGCTCCTAAACGTGAGTTTATCAGCTGCAGTGTACATGAGCCCTAAAGCAAACCTGCTTTGCAGCACAACTTAGCAGAAAGCACACCACTATGTAACAAGCAAATATGGCTGTCCCCATAGACCTATTTAGTATAAAATATTCCTAGAAATGCATTTTTGAAAATATGAACACACATTAATAAGATTAAGTGCATTAAGCTGATCAGTGTCTCATTAACATAAAAAAACTACTATGGATTCCCTTTAATTGCAATAAAACTGTCATAATTCACTGGGATTTTTCCTAAAGATGACATTTTTAAAACCAAGGCTTGTAACATTCCCTACAGCCCAGTTTGAGAACGACTTGCCTAGCATGTTGCCGGAATCTTAACATGGTTTATACATTTCATGGAAGGCAATATCCTATAAGTATGTTCTTCACACCTCTCCTGGCAAGCAACATTCAATGACGAATCAAAGACGGTAATCACACAATGATGAATCCATCAATGATCCTTTTAGAATTGACTGAGGATTACAGTAATCCCTGTGGGCAATAAATGCTGTGATGCAAAACTTCTTTTAAAATTACTGTATGTTAATAGGATCGCCAGTTTCAAATGAAGTCTTTGAAACCCCATGCTAGGCATTTGGGAATAGCTGCTGGGACAAAAATAGCTAGAGGGGAGCATAAAATGCAAATTTCTACATTAGAGAAGAAATGGTTGTTTTTATGTATGCTTGGCCTTCTGAAAACTCCAACTCCATGTATACAAACACATTCTACTCGTCTGCTAACTTCAAACCTTCCTTCAAAATGTGCCTTAAGACGAAAACTTAATTATTCCTTTTTTTTTTTTAGAAATTTTTTTATGATTAAGGCAGGGGAAACCATATGTTTACATTGTGTTTACTCATTTAATCATAAGTTTTTAAATTAAATTAATTGACTAAATTATTTTGCTCAGAGAAGAGAAATGACTGTTGGCTATGTAGAACTCACATGAACTCTCATGTACTGTGCTAGATTAGCAGTCTCTTGTCATATTACATTTTATTTCTGCTTGGCACGCAAGGGTTCAGAACCTGCTTCATGATTTGGTTTCCCAAACAGCTAGTTTTTTTCAAAGGTTTTAAAAGCAGTGGAAGAAAGGAGGACTTTTTTTTAGTTATCAGAGGACAAGGAGTATAGAAAATGTGAAGCTCCAACAAAAATAGAGAGACATACCTGGTAATTCAAAAAATGAGTTCTGGGCAAAGATATAACAAATATATTTGCACCCCTCGCTCCAGCTTTCCATCATTGCACTACTACTCCCTCCTCCCTCACAAATAGACATTTATTTTTCTTTATTTTTTGTCTTTTGTTATTCCCCCTACATGGAATGATGCTTCAATCACCTGTAGCTCTCTGAAATAGAAATGTTCCTCTTCCAATGAGACCTTAGAGTCCTCTACTGTAAATGTGTCTGTGAGTCATCAGAATACTGGCTTTCACTTTCTGGTCCTGGTCAAACCTCAGAAAATGCTTGTCATCGGGGGGGGCTGGCAAGAGATTGAGGCCTCCTATTGACATAAGTAAAGAAGATGGTGACGCAGGACCCAGTAAAATGGTCATGAGGACCACAATCGGGCTCAGGGTAGGATTTCTGCTGCTGTTGCTAATTTTTAGAGAAATGAATTGCACGTGAAGGCCGGGCAATAATCACACTGACAACTGTGCAGTATAACCACGTCCTCATCTCTGTTTATTGCAGGCGGTGCTTAACCTTTTATACATAGAAAACAATAGAGTATACGTCACTATTATGTAAATACAGTCACATTAAAAGGCACATTTTGCTTGGCTGAAATATGGGAGAAGTGCAGAAACTTGATGCTTGAGGCCCGTTATCTTTTCACTCCCTCTCACATATTCAAGGCCTAAGTAAGATCCTCTCAGTGCGAAGGGAGGGGTTGAGAACATTGCTCTGAACAAAACAAGTTAAGGAGGACTGCAAAGCCCAGCAGACAAAAATATATACACACAACACATATATTTAGAAATATGAAAAAGTATAAAAAGTAAATATATATATATAAAATGTATATTTTAAACAGGAAACAGAATAGGCATTTTACCAAATCCATCACACCAGCATTTGGCAGCGGATCAGAAGATTTCACCACTTTGCAATGCTGGATTTACAAGACATTTAAGTACGTATTTTAGGAATTTGCCAGCAAACAGGATAAAATGGAATTAAAAACATGGGGAAGAAGTACCTTTTTCAGAATATGTAACGCTTGTTTTTCTAGGGGCAATGATCTTAAGTAGATAATTACTTCTCCTACCCCACTGTCAGGGCTCCCAGGTGTGACCAGAGGTGTGTGACTGACGCAGGGAAACGCAGACTTCAGATATGTGATAAACAATATAATTTATTAACACTAACAATACAAACATAAACGCAGTGCAATACTAAACATAATACAGTGCAAACAAACCAACCACCCACAGATAACAGTACATACAAGCAAGCGTCGTCAGGCAGGCCGGGTCAATATCAATAGTGGGGCAGGTAGGTACAGGGGGAGCAAGCGGAGATTGGTCAGGGTCACAGGCCAGGTTCAGCAGGTAGCTAGCAGCGTAGTACAGAGGGTCAGGCAGAGGGATGGTCAGGGTCACAAGCCAGGGATCAGAACAGGTAGCAGGCAGCGTAGTACAGAGGGTCAGGCAGAGGGATGGTCAGACAAGCCAGGGATCAGAACAGGTAGCAGAAATCAGACAGGAACAGAGAGCAGGAACAGGATACAGGGCCCAAGAGAAACACAACACCAAGGCAGAGTCTGCAAGTCTGGCCATCCCTTAAATACCCCAGCATAATCAGTTCCAGGTGTTAGCTGGCTGCAAAGTTGAGTCTCTGATTGCTGGGAGCATCCGCTGGCCAGCCCTGGTACTGCAGATCAAAAGGCAGGTGAGTCCCACCATTGCTGGCTAGTCCATTCCTGACAGTACACCCCCCCCTCAAGGAGCGGCCTCAGGACGCTCCAAACAGTCCCTAGCTGGGCAAAATGTTCCACCGCCCGGGTCTGGTAACTGGCGGGATATCAAAGACTGGCACACCGGGCAGGACTCCGGGCAGCGGCACACCGGGCAGGACTCCGGGCAGCGGCACACCGGGCAGGGGCACACCGGGCAGAGGCACATTGGGCAAAGGCACGTCGGGCAGGACTCCGGGCAGAGGCACGTCGGGCTGGACTCCGGGCAGAGGCACGTCGGGCTGGACTCCGGGCAGAGGCACGTCGGGCTGGACTCCGGGCAGAGGCACGTCGGGCTGGGACTCCGGGCAGAGGCACGTCGGGCTGGACTCCGGGCAGAGGCACGTCGGGCGCTGGACTCCGGGCAGAGGCACGTCGGGCAGGACTCCGGGCAGAGGCACATCGGATTACCAGGCGAAGCAGCAGGCAGCGGGGGCCACCAGGCGGAGCGGCAGGCACCGGGCCACCAGGCGGAGCGGCAGGCACCGGGCCCCCCGGGCGGAGCGGCAGGCAGCGGGCCCCCGGGCGGAGCGGCAGGCAGCGGCCCCCGGGCGGAGCGGGCAGGCAGCGGGCCGCCCCCCGGGCGGGGCGACAGGGCGTCGGGCCCCAGGCGGGGCGACAGGCGTCGGGCCCCCAGGAGGGGCGACAGGCGTCGGGCCCCCAGGAGGGGCGACAGGCGTCGGGCCCCCAGGAAGGGCGACAGGCTTCGGCCCCCAGGAGGGGCGACAGGCATCGGGCCCCCAGGAGGGGCGACAGGCATCGGGCCCCCAGGGCGGAGCAACAGGTCTCGGGCCCTCAGGCGGAGCGGCGGGGGCCGGACCCCCAGATGGAGTGACAGGTCTCGGGCCCCCAGGCGGAGCGGCGGGCCGCCGGACCCCAGTGGAGCGACAGGTCTCGGGCCCCTCAGGCGGAGCGGCAAAGGGCGCCGGACCCCCAGATGGAGCGACAGGTCTCGGGCCCTCAGGCGGAGCGGCGGGCGCCGGACCCCCAGATGGAGCGACAGGTCTCGGGCCCTCAGGCGGAGCGGCGGGCGCCGGACCCCCAGATGGAGTGACAGGTCTCGGGCCCCCCAGGCGGAGCAGCAGCGGGCGCCGGGACCCCCAAGTGGAGCGACAGGTCTCGGGCCCTCAGGCGGAGCGGCGGGCGCCGGACCCCCAGATGGAGTGACAGGTTTCGGGCCCCCAGGCGGAGCGACAGGTCTCGGGCCCTCAGGGGCGGAGCGGCGGGCGCCGGACCCCCAAGTGGAGCGACAGGTCTCGGGCCCCCAGGGCGGAGCGGACAGGTCTCGGGGCCCCCAGGCGGAGCGACAGGTCTCGGGCCCTCAAGCGGAGCGGCGGGCGCCGGACCCCCAGATGGGGAGCGACAGGTCTCGGGCCCTCAGGCGGAGCGCGCCGGGCCGCACAAATTGGGACCCCCCAGGATGGATGGGCGACAGGTCTCGGGCCCCCAGGCGGAGCGGCGGGCGCCGGACCCCCAGGTGGAGCGACAGGTCTCGGGCCCCCAGGCGGAGCGACAGGTCTCGGGCCTCAGGTGGAGCGGCGGCGCCGGACCCCCAGGCGGAGCGACAGGTCTCGGGCCCCCAGACGAAGCGGCGGGCACCGAGTCACCAGGCACCACAGTGGGCACCGAGTCGTTTCTCTATCTGGCAAGACTGCGGGCACCGAGTCGTCTGGCAAGACTGCGGGCACCGAGTCAACTGGCGGAACAGCGGGCACCGAGTCGTCTGGCAAGACTTCGGGCACCGAGTCCGTCTGGCAAGACTGCGGGCACCGAGTCGTCTGGCAAGGACTGCGGGCACCGAGTCGTCTGGCAAGACTGCGGCTCCGAGTCGTCTGGCAAGACTGCGGGCACCGAGTCGTCTGGCAAGACTGCGGGCACCGAGTCGTCTGGCGGAACAGCGGGCATCGAGTCGTCTGGCAAGACTGCGGGCACCGAGCCGTCTGGCGGAACAGCGGGCACGAGTCGTCTGGCAAGAAGACCGGGCACCGAGTCGTCTGGCAAGACTGCGGGCACCGAGTCGTCCTGGCAAGACTGCGGGCACCGAGTCGTCTGGCAAGACTGCGGGCACCGAGTCGTCTGGCGGAACAGCGGGCATCGAGTCGTCTGGCAAGACTGTGGGCACCGAGTCGTCTGGCAAGACTTGCGGGCACCCGAGTCGTCTGGCAAGACTGCGGGCACCGAGTCGTCTGGCAAGACTGCGGGCACCGAGTCGTCTAGCAAGACTTGCGGGCACCGAGTCGTCTGGCAAGACTGCGGGCACCGAGTCGTCTAGCAAGACTGCGGGCACCGAGTCGTCTGGCAAGACTGCGGGCACCGAGTCAACAGGCACGACAGTGGCACTGGGTCATCTGGTATCGGATTGTCTGGCTCCACAGCGGGCATCGGGTCACCAGTATGACAGCGGGCACTGGGTCACCAGGCATCAGGTCATTTAGCTTCCAGCGGGCACCGCGTCATCTGGCAAGGCAGTGGGCAACCGGGTCTCCAGGTATGACAGCGGGCTCTGAGTCAATTGGCACGACAGCGGGCACTGGATCAGGTACCGGATCATCTGGATCAACAGCGGGCATTCGAGTCAACTGGCCTAATAGGATCGTCGGGCTGGATCAGTTCATCATGCTGAGTAGCGGCATCAGGCTGAATGCAGGCATCAGGCTGAATGCAGGCATCAGGCCGAGTAGAGGCTTCAGGCCGAGTAGAGGCTTCAGGGCCGAAGAGAGGCTTTTCAGGCCGAAGAAGAGGCATCAGGCCGAAGAGAGGCATCAGGCCGAAGAGAGGCATCAGGCCGAAGAGAGGCATCCGGCTGAAGAGAGGCTTCAGGCTGAGTAGAGGCTTCAGGCTGAGTCACGGAAGGCAGGTTCACCGGTTTGGATACTGGCAGGATGGTATTGGTTGGAAAGAATTTTCGCTTTTTTCTGGTTTTAACTACTGAGCCACTGCAAGTAAACGCAGGTCTGCAAACGAATGGAGCAGCTGGAGACAGAGAAAAACTGGAGGATGGAACAGGAGAGGGAGCAGTTGCTACAGAGGGCTTTTTTACAGGGATAAAGGCAGGATAGGTGCAGCGAGTGGGAACAGGGGTACTGACATGCGGTAGATAGCCAAGTATACTGGGCTGTAACCGGAGGAGCTGGTGGGAATACAGGAGTAGAGTTAGAAGCAGGACTGGGTTTTTGTAAGCTGACTGAGGCTGGGTGCAACAAGTCTGTCCATGTCTGCAGTAAGGGTTGAACAAAGCTGAGCTTACACAAAGCCTGTCTGGTCAATGACTGCACTGCGTTTATACAATCTCTTATGTGTCTGTGGTGAACATGTGGAATAACGCTCCAGAAAGTAACCCACATCATCCTCTAATAACCACACCAGGGACTCTACCTGGTCTGCACTAAATGGTGGCAAAAATTCATCCCTGCATTCGGGGGAACCAGATGAAACCAACTCAGCACAAACCTCAATCAATGGCTGCACCTCAGAGAACTCTGTGCCCTGATCTACTAGAACATGAGCGAGCCGTATACATTCTAGTAGTTGATCCCTGGGATACTCCTTCAGAGTTTGATAAGCATACTCCCTGTCATCAAACACTAGCAGATATAAATACACAACCTCATCCAGATCCATCCTTCCCAGCAACAAGCCAAGATGGCTTCCCTGTGCAGCCACTTCTGGTCAGGATTGGCCTTGGTGTAATGTCAGGGCTCCCAGTTGTGACCAGAGGTGTGTGACTGACGCAGGGAAACGCAGACTTCAGATATGTGATAAACAAATAAATTATTAACACTAACAATAAAAACATAACGCAGTGCAATACTAAACATAAATACAGTGCAAACAAACCAACCACCCACAGATAACAGTACATACAAGCAAGCGTCGTCAGGCAGGCCGGGTCAATATCAATATGGCAGGTAGGTACAGGGGGGAGCAAGCGAGATTGGTCAGGGTCACAGGCCAGGTTCAGCAGGTAGCTAGCAGCGTAGTACAGAGGGTCAGGCAGAGGGGATGGTCAGGGTCACAAGCCAGGGATCAGAACAGGTAGAAGGCAGCGTAGTACAGAGGGTCAGGCAGAGGGATGGTCAGACAAGCCAGGGATCAGAACAGGTAGCAGAGAATCAGACAGGAACAGAGAGCAGGAACAGGATACAGGGCCCAAGAGAAACACAACACCAAGGCAGAGTCTGCAAGTCTGGCCATCCCTTAAATACCCCAGCATAATCAGTTCCAGGTGTTAGCTGGCTGCAAAGTTGAGTCTCTGATTGCTGGGAGCATCTGTTGGCCAGCCCTGGTACTAGCAGATCAAAAGGCAGGTGAGTCCCACCATTGCTGGCTAGTCCATTTCCTGACACCCACTATCCCATCACAACCAACAACCTGTTCAATCCTTCAGTTTGCAGTGCTGGAATGAAGGCGGCGTTCTTACCGTCATCAAGTGCAAAGCAGGTCTGACCAGTGTGTGTTGGCCACTTCGTCCTGCATTGCATGTGATGATGTCAGTGAAAGGGGTGGTAACAAGACCAATTAGAGGTCAGCAAGCAGAGCGGGTTCAAGAGACCAGTCATCACAACAACAAAAAAAGCAGGGAGGAGTGCTTTGAGAGAAGAAGTAAGGCAATAGTCTGTGATCAACCTCTAGAAAACTAAGCATTATATGCTTGGAGGAGACACAATGCTAATTGTTTTATTCTTCCCTGCACACAGCAGCTCTGATCCTCCTCTTCTGGGGTCCTCTATTAGAGATCCAGTTTCCTCCCCACCTCCAAGTGTCCACACAGCAAGCCGCTTGCTATGGGGGCACTTGTGAAACCAAATCCCAAACTAGGCTCTGTGTGTCCATTGACACACACAGCATGGCTTGGCCCCACCCCCACTCTCTCCTTACAGGCTACAGGAGCCAAAAGGGGCTAGGGGGAGAGCTGAACTCCAGGCAAACAAAAACACAGTTGAAAAGCATATATTGGGAGCTGTTTTACCTACCAAAGAGTTCATAGTTCTTTTCATCCAGTCCTTAGCTTTGTACATTCCAGCCAGACAAAAAGCCAGGTTGGTTACCTACAGGGGCGGACTGACAACTCATGGGGCCCCCGGGCACTAGGGGATCATGAGGCCCCTGTATCCTTTTTCCCAAACTCAAAAAAGCCTATGAAAAAGGTACCAGGGGCATCTCATGGGGCCCCCTACTGACCCGGGCCCTCGGAGCAGTGCCCGAGTTTCCAAATGGTCAGGCCGTCCCTGGTTACCTACTATTTTTTCTATTACAACTATACAGCTATGTTACCTCCCTGTCACTAGCCTTTCACTGGACAGTGAAAGAGTAGCAGCATTCTGATGAACTCATTAATGTGTGTTAGTGACCAGATCAACAGATAAACTGCGGCCACCACATCTAAGGAGTAGTAAGATGCTTATATCTTGCATATATCCAATATTTGTTAATGAGTTTAGATTTGCATAACATTGTAACTCCTTAATCTTTAAGTTTGCCAAAAAAGTCATCATGCTGCAAACAAGACTTTTATGGTATTCTAAAATTCTAATGTGAATCATTAGGTTGTTCTCTATTAACAAACTGCAAACAATTTACAGTTGTAAGGTTTGCTAGCCGTACTGCTAATTTTATTTGCAACTTAAATATACATAAAACTTAAAAACAGTTTTTAACACTATTTTAAATTCGATATTATTTGCAAAATA